GTTGAAATTAAATCATTTCCCAGGGTTGAGTGACTTGCATCGTAATTAAGTAGCCATGGCCCTTGGGCCTGCTGTGAGAGAGACAGTGCTCAGGTCCAGAGGCAGATGCTGCCCCAGTTGGTGAGAGAGCAGTGCCCCCTTGGAAGCTGGCTCAGGGCGCGTTTGAGCCAACTCTTCACATATGATTAGGGCTCAGCCTGAGCCTCCTGTCCAGAGACCTAGATTCACACTCACGTGGGGACACAGGCACCCAGCTAAGGCCTAACTGGGCAGGGGACCAAGCTAGGGGACCACAGAAGCCCTTCTACAGGTGGGCATCAGTGAGCCCATGTCTGCCCTTCCACACCTGGCACTAGTGAGTCCACATGCACCCTTCCACACCTGGCACCAGCTCTGACTTGCTGTCCTCTCTGTGATTAGGGGGCAGCTGAGCCCAGGCAGGATGCTGGGGCCCGGAAGGGCCCAAGACAGGGGAACACTGCAAAACTAGGTCCAGAGAAGGTGATTATAAGCGTGTTCTAGAAGATTCTCTGGTCCTAGTGGGTGACAGCCACAAATGAAGCAGGCATGCAGGGAGCAGAGCTGCCCTCCCTCTGGCCCTGTTGCCTCAACCTTGGCCTGAACCCGGTTCCCCGCCTGGGTGCCAAGGATCTCACAAACCTCACCTGAAGCCAGGATGGGCAGGGGAGGGACAGCGCAATGCTCAGGCCACAGGAAGAAGGGCTCAGACAGAGGCGCATGGCTCCTAGACCTTAAGAGTAGCTTTGGAGCCTACTTGGTTTGTTGAACCATGGGCTCCAAAGAAACAAGTTCTCAAAATGGTAAAGAAAGAAAGAAAAAAAGAAAAAGGAATGAAGAATGAGGTTAGGCTTGGTGGCTCACACCTGTAACCCTGCTACTCAGGAGGCTGAGATGTGAGGGTCACAGTTCAACGCCAGCCTGGGCAGGAAAGCCCAATTAATCACAGAAAAAGCTGGAAGCAAAAGGAGCTTAGGACAGCACTCAGGCCCACAGTTAAAGGCTCAGGACCAGCAAAAAACAAAAAACAAAAAAACAAAACTGGCAGCTGATGGTTCAAAGTCAGAGCAGTCTATGAGACTCATCTCCCTTAACCACCAGAAAACCAGAAGTGGAGTTGTGGCTCAAAGTGGTAGAGCACTAGGCTTGAACAAAAGAGCTCAGTGACAGCTCGCAGGCCTTGAGTTCAAGTCCTACAAATGACAAAAAAAAAGAGTGAGAGTAGAAGAAAGAGTGGGATGGGGTGGGTAAAGAAGGCAAAAGGGTGGAGGTGAGATAGGGAATGGTTGGGTACACACAATCAGTTTCTATCTCTAGCAATTATTTCCTCCTCAGGGCTAAAAGAAGTAAAGCAATGTAAGATAGAGATCCTCTGAGTTCCCAGAAATACAGGAGACAAAGCCAAATTCTCAAATGAGAAAGAAGGGAAAACTGGGGATGAAGAGAGAGGGGAAATAAAGGAAGGTTTTGAGGTATTAGGAAACGGTGGTTGGATGATAATCTTCGGTGTGTGATGGGATAGCTCCTTTTAGCAGATACCTTCTTCCCAGTGCTTCGAAAGGAATAAAACAATGGAAAACAGATATCCACAATCTTCACTTTCTCCTCTCTGTTTCACATGAGAAGTGTCCCCTACACCTATTTTCATATGGAATTTTTTTTTCTTTTTAGAAAGAGTAGTTATTGGAGTAGTAAATGAACCCCCTTCTCCTGCTCAGTGGTGAGGAATCAAAGATTTAATATTCCTTCTAGAATATCATCATGAAGAGGTACAGGCTGGCATGACCAACTTTTAGGTCCACACTGAATGTTGACATCTCTAACAAAAGGAAAGGAATGATCAGAAGAGTGGCTTTTATGATTTGAGAATGGGAACATCTGCCAGCACAAATATTATCTCCGCAGACTGGAAGTGTTTCCACCATGAGCCCAGTGGCTTATCAATTAGCAGAATCATATGAGAAAGCTCAGAGATACAATTATAAATTATATCAGAGAAGTTGTTTCTAATCCCTAAACATACCTGAAGTCTTCGAGGTCCCAAATGGAAAAAACAAACAAACAAACATGGAACAGAGCCAGGGACTGGTTACTCATGATTATAATCTTAGTAACTCAGGAGCCTAAAATATGAGAATCATAGTTAAAAGCCAGCCTGGACAGAAAAATACCCTGAGAATCCTACCTCCAATTCACCATCCAGGACTGGGAAATAGAACTGTGGCTTAAATGGTACAGCTCTAGACAAGAGCAAAAAGCCAAAAGACAGTACATGTGTTCAAACGTCAAGATAGGCATAGGCAAAAAAGGAAGAAACAGCTCAATTTTTGAACAGACTAAAATAAGAAAAAATTAGAATTAAAAATAAAGTATCCTCTTGGTCACACACTTCAAGTGATCAAGCTGGCTTGATATAGCAAAAAAAATTACAAAAACGAGAAAATTTGAAGGACAGCAATAAACAAACTACCAAGAGAAGACTAAAATTTTATGTAAAATGAAAGGAGGGGGTAAAATGTCTAAAATGATATCTGGTGGATATCCAGTGTCCAGAATAGACCACCAACCCTAATTTCCTACCATCTTCAGTTTTTTGTTTTTTGGGTTTTTTTGCTTATGTGGTGCTGAGGAATCGAACCCAGGGCCTCAGGCATACAAGGCAAGCGCTCTACCACTGAGCCAACTTCCCAGCCCCCCATCTTCAGTTTTGAAAAGCATGAGCCAACACTGGAGGTGCTCCTGAGGTATATGCATATAGGGCTTAAGTCTAGGGAAACAAACCCTTGGCGATACATAGGATTAAAATTTTGAGATGGTTCTGGAGAGTTATATGCTTGGGCAGAATGTATTAAATATTCTTTCTGCCCTCTAAGGTCCACTATGAACCTTAGACAAACATAGGCATGGAGTTCATGACTTATAAGAAAATTGCCTTGGAAACTCCTCTTCCAAGGCCCTTTCACTGCTGCTCCCAACAGTTAGTGGTCAAAGCCAAACTCTACTCCCCAACTCTTTCATGCCCTCTTCTCTCAAGACCAAATATGCCTCTTGCCTCTCCAGGTTGAGGCAAAGAGTTGAAGGAAAAAAATGTCTGGATGTTATGAAAGTCAATGCTTTTGAGGCATAATCTATCACTACTATCCATAAACAGTGCAGAATCCTGGTGCTCCTGGAATGGAATCTGTGCTTTAGTTCAATTTCTCATCCCTTTCACTCTAGTATTATATTTCCCTCATCATGCTCAAACAAATGCCTCAGTACTCTCATCCCTAGAGTTACTGTATTTATACTCTTGTATTTATGCTATGTGGTCTCCAAGGAATTCTTAATGAGTAGAGCAGCAGGTTTTGAACCCATTCTGTTCAGGTGGTCCACTGTATGATTTTCATACTTCCTACAAAGGATAGACAAGGATAGACCTCTCTGGCAAACTTGATGGTAAGCACAGATGTTCAATAGAATGGAATTCATATCTGTGCTTACCTCTTTAGTAATTGTTATTATAATAATGACTGTGGGTTTTTTTGTTATGTTCCTTGCATAAGTGATCTTGTTCAAATATTGAATGAAACTCTCCTCAACAAACAACTATTTCCTTTTTATGGGATTCTTTGGCAGGTGTTTGTTTTCAAACACTGACTAGATTTGAAGCAAAAATGTAAAGTAAAATAAAAGGCTCTAGAATCTTTACTGTCAAAATGATTGTTTAACATAAGTACCACCATGTTCAGTGTTGCTGTCATTTTTTAAGAACCTTTCTTCATTAAGCCACATTTTGGGATAAGAATAGTTCTTCTAGACACTGGAGGAAAGGCTGTAGTGGAAATGTGGCCGCTCAGTAAGAATTGTTTTTCTGAGCAAGAGAGAACAGCTTACCCTAAACATTCTTATCTAAAGGTAAGAAATGTACATATCACCCTATTTGGAAGAAATAGTTGTATTGTCGAAGTTCGTAGAGTTCATAAGCTTTATAGACCATGATAATGGCAATTCACTTTGTAAAGGTCAAAATGTGTTTGTGACATTAGCTAAATCACTATCCCACAATATTGTGAAGTTTATGTAATCACTTAATCTCAGTAAAGAAATTTAAAAAAAAAAGAATTGTTTCTCTGACAAACTCCTCCTTTGGTCAGACTTCTGGGTACTCCTTCATTTTGCCTCAATTAAGAAACTGTTAAAAGTTTAAAATCCTGTGACTGTGAAGCAACCAATTGCAGCAAATGAGACTATAATTTTGAATCTACCACTTGGGGGAAGGGAGAGTACTTTGTTATGGATAAAACTTGAGTATTCTGCCCACCCAAAGTTATGACTTACTTGATTTTCTATCAGTTGCATGCTCTTCACAGAAGGAGATCTTGTTTTGTCAAATTTTTCAGCTCCCACAAATTTAGGGAGAAATGGTTAGGCATACTGCTAAGGACACTATTTTGTTTTTATATATCTAAAGGGAGAAATAGAATTTCAGGGAAAAAACTGAAAAAGTTGGGATCCTCTTCAAAGGTTTTCCTCTAGTCTATAGGCCCGAAGAAGTGTCTTTCGAACCTCCTGGGATTGTAGAACCATAGGAGCCAAAAACTCAAATTCTTGGGCTGAGAAGGTGACTCAGTGCTTGCTTTGCATGCATAAGGCCCTGGGTTCGATTCCTCAGTACCATATAAGCAGAAAAAGCTGGAAGTGGCACTGTGGCTCTAGTGGTAAAGCACTTGCATTGAGCTGAAGAGCTGAGGGACAGCGCCAAGGCCCAGAGTTCAAGCCTCACCACCACCACCACCACCACCACCAACAACAACAACAACAAAAGCAAATTCTCAAGAGAGGAAATGAGGAGAAAGAAAGAAAAAAAGAATGAAGTCGGGTGAGAAGGAAAAGTGAGGTGAGGGTGGAAAAGAAGAGGTGAAAGAGGGAATTAGTAATGGCTGGGTCAGGACATTCATCTTCTCATCCCCAGCAGATATTTTCTTCTCAGGGTAAAGGAACTAAAGCAATATAAGATAGAGATCCTCTAGGTTCCCAGAATCATAGGAGACAAGGTCAATTTCCTAAAGGGGAAAGGAGAAGAAAGGAAAATTGGAGATGAAGAGGGAGATAGAGAGGGGAAATTTTAGAGCAGGAGGAAACAGATGATTGGATAACAAGGTTGGGTATTGGAGTTTGACAGTACCTAGCAGACACCTTAATGCTTAACTCCAAGAAATGGAAACAAGAGGGTTTAAATTTTTTTTTATTTTACTGTTTGAGGTTATTTCTTTTTCCTTTCTTTATTTTCCTTTGGTTTATTTCCTGTTGTCACTGTTTTTTATTTCTGTACTCTGTCTTGTATATAAGTTTATCTAGTTTGGGGAAGGGAAGGGAATCACAGAAATGATGGGACAAAGGGGGAACCAATCCAACAGTGATACTCACTAGACACTGTTGGAAATGAACTTTATAACTTGCAGGGATCAGGAGGCATCTTGTATATATACTTCTCTAATTTGGGGAGGGGAAGGGAAAAAACAAAATGCTTAAATAAGGATACAAGTTGACCCTTGTAACAATGAGATGTACAAGACACTATGATGAAAAACGAACTTTGCAATTTAGGCGGGGGTGGGGGAGGTGGGGGGGGTGTAGTTGTGGAGGTGGGAGGGAAGGGATGGTAGGGGAAAAACAAAGGAGGAGGCAACAATCCTTGATAGGAAATGTACTCATTACCTTGCTCATGTAACTGTAACTCCTCTGTACAGTATTTTTACAATTAAAAAAACATACACAAAAAGAACTTATCCTAGAAGCTGTTTAGTAATGTCCCATCCCCAGGACCCACCCTATGTTTATTGAGCCTGTGAAGCCAGGTGTGCAGTACCCCATGATATCTAACTTAGGCTCAACTGTATATTTAAGGATGGACTAGTTTTAAAAAACACTTAATCCAGCATTACTTAAAGACAGGATGCAATCTAAGAAATAATTTTTATGTTTTTTAATTTAAATTTTATTGTAAAGATGATGTTCATAAGGATTGCAGTCACATAAGTTAGATAATGAGTCCATTTCTTTTCAGTGTTACCCCTCCCTCATTTTCTCCCACTGTCCTCCCTCAACCTGGATCTTTGTTTCAGCATTTTGTTATTTCCTTCCCCTTGCCAAATAAGAAAAATGTATACACAAGATGCAGGGCACTAGAATCAAATGCAGGGGAAACAGAGGTTAAAATGAGGGAAGAACATACAAAAGAAACAAAAGAAAATCACATAGTACATTATAAGTACATTAAAAACAGCAGCAACAAAGAAAAAACCTCGGTGTCCCTATCTTGGGGTTCATTTCACTTAGCATCATCTTATATGGTCATATGCGCATAGCTTTTTACCTTTTCTGCTTGTTTGATAAGACTATCCTAGATATATACTAGTTATTGCTAATAAGGGAAACCATGGGACCTATGTTTCTTTGGGCCTGGCTTATTTCACTTAATATAATTTTTTCCAAGTTTTCCCATTTCCTAACAAATGGGATAGTATCATTCTTTCTGATGGACATTTTATGTAGCTGGCAAAATTTCTAGTGTACTCACTTTGATTTCCCTTCCCAAATGTAGTTCCAGATAATAATTTGAATACAATCAGAACTGAAAAAAAACACACAATTTAGTTATAACAAACACCAAAGCATTGTTTGAGTAAGGAATCTTGGTAATGGGTGCAAATATTTACCAAATGCATACATATTACTTCTCACTTATAAAATCAAAGGTACAACTTAAATATCCTCATTATACTCAAGGTCAATGAGAAGTTTGCATACAAATTTATGAAATAAGATTGATCCTATATTTAGAGTATAGTACAAGTTACCAATTGAAATTCTAGTATCTTGAGAAAGACCAGGAATGTTAGGAAAAAATGGAAAAGATGATTAAAAATAAATGCTCAGGGAGCTCTATCATGAAATCTGAGTTCACTTGGAAAAAGATAACTTACCAATTGCTGGTGTGTGTGTGTGTGTGTGTGTGTGTGTGTGTGTGTGTGTGTGTGTGTATGTGTGTGTGTGTGTGTGTGTGTGTGTGTGTGTGATTACTTGCAGGTACAAATTTCAGGGGCTTTCATGACTGGACTGGCTTTGAACAATGGTTATCAGATCTCAGACTTCTGAGTAGCTAAGATTATAGATAGGATCCACTAGAGCCCAACTTTGTTCTATTTTTATTGAAAGAATTTAACAAAAACACAGGCTGTTCTCATTTTGCTAAAACAAAAGTCAATGTTTATCCTGAGGCTCAATAGAATTAACTATAAAAGAGATGGCTAGTTTTTCCCCTTAGGAAAAAACAGATTTTCTTTTTTGTCAGTTGTAGAGCATGAACTCAAGGCCTGGGTTCTGTCCTGGAGCTCTTTTGTTCAATGCTAGAACTCTACCAATTTGAGAAACAGCAGCACTTATAGTTTTTGAGTACTTAGTTGGAGATAAGAGTCTCATGGGGACTTTTCTACCTAAACTGGCTTTTAACTGCAGTCCTCAGCTATCAGCCTCCTGAGTAACTAGGATTACAGGTGTGAGCCACTGGTGCTGTCCCAGATTTGTTTTCTTTCTTTCTTTTTCCAGATTTCCTTTCTTTTATTTTTATTTTATTTATTTTTATTGTAAAGATCATGTACAGAGGGGTTACAATTACATAAGGCAAGTAATGAGTACATTTGTTTTTCAACAATGTCACCTCTTCACTCATTTTCTCCCTCCTGAATCACCTCCCCGACAAGTTGCATGGTTATTTTCAACACTGTCGAGTGAGTATCACTGCTGCATTTGCTTTCCCTTTGTCCCATTATTTCTGTGCTCCCTCTAACCCTCCACCAAACAAATAAACTTACATACAAGACAAAATGTACAGAAATAAAAAGCAGCAACAAAAGGGGGAAAAAAAACAAAAAGCAAAATAACATCAAACCTCTTTTTTCCATTTCATGGAGTTCATGTCAATAAATTTCATTTTATATGATCATATGCATGTAGCTATTGAGCCTTTGTGAACCTCTCCTAAGAATATCCTCTTTTGGTCTCACTGGGTGCATGTTTAGAGTCCTATTTATCATGTCCAAGTGTAACTTTTTGTCTTTTACCATCCATTGTCTTTACTTGTAGATTTATAGACACATTGTAATTACTACAAATGAGGGAAAGCATGCAACCTATGTTTCCTTGAATCTGGCTTACTTTACTAAATATAATTTTTCCAAGTCTTTCCATTTCCTTATGAATGGTACAATGTCATCCTTTCTGATGGAAGCATAGACTTCCATTATGCATATATATATATATATTCATCATATTTTCTTCATTTATTCATCTGCTAGGGGACATCTAGGTTGATTCCATATTTTGGCTAGAGTAAATAATACTGCAGTGAACCTGGTTGTGCTAGTAGCTTTAGTGTGGCCTAATTTGTGGTCAATTGGATAAATGTCCAGGGGTAGGATTGCTGGGTCATAGGGGAGCTCTACGTTTAGTTATTGAGGAACCTCCATACTGCTTTCCAGAAAGGTTGAACAAGTTAACATGCCACATGCCCACAAGCATCGGTTACTGTTAGTTCTCTTGATAATGGCCATTCTAACTGGAGTAAGGTAGAATCTCAATGTTGTTTTTATTTTCATTTCTTTTATGGCCAGAGATGTTGAACCTCTCCTGTGTCTATTGACCTTTCTTGTTTCTTCTTCTGAGAAGTCTCTAAGTCTTTAGCCCCTTTACATATTGTGTTGCTGTTTCCTTGAGGATTTTTTTCTGGGAGTTTAATTTTTTGAGCTCTAAGTGTATTTTAGATATGAGGCCCTTATCTGATGCATAGCTAGTAAAGATCTTGTCTCATTCTGTGGGCTTTCTATTTATGTTGCTAACTACGTCCTTTGCCATGCAGAAACTCTCCCATTTGGTGAAATCCCACTTATCTAGTCTTTGATTTGCTGTGATTCTGGATCTTCACATAGGAAGTATTTTCTCATGCCTAGTGTTTCCCCATCCCTTCTTGTAATATTTTCACGATATCTGGCCTTACATTGAGGTCATTAATCCATTTGGAATTGATTCTGGATCAGTGTGATATATAGAGATCTAATTTCAGTATTCTGTATATGTATAGCCAATTCTGCCAGCACCATTTGTTTTGGCTCCCTTATCAAATTTTAGCTGCCAATATATCTGTGGGTTCCTTTCTGGGTCTCTTATTCTATTCCATTGCTCCTCAGGCTATTCTTGTGCCAGTACCTAGCTGTGTAATAGAGTTTGAAGGTTGGTATTGATATTCCTCCAACACTGTTCTTCGTGCAAAGGATTTTTTTGCTCTTTGGGACTTTTTCTTACCCCATATGAATTTTTGGATTGCTGTCTCTATATCACTGTTATTGGAATTTTGATAGGTAATCCACTGAATTTGTAGATAACTTTGGGAAATATTGCCATGTTCACCATGTAATACTTCCAATCCAGGAGCAAGGAAGGTTTTTTCCATTTGCTTACAGATTTGTTATCTTATGGAAGAAAAAAGATTACCTCATTTGTGAAGACTAGGAAAACCTAACAAGAAAAAAGTGAGAGAAGGGATGAATAAGGCAGAGGAGAGAAAAGAAATAAGAACAGGACTAATGGATATAATGGAAGTATATTGTGTCTCCATGTATAAAAATGTTACAAGCAAACTTTTATACAGTCTAATTACAGTGTTAATAAAATATATAGAAATTGGGCTGGGAAGGTGGCTCAGTGGTAGAATGCTTGCCTTGCATGCATGAGGCCCTGGGTTCGATTCCTCAGCACCACATAAGCAGAAAAAGCCAGAAGTGGTGCTGTGTCTCAAGAGGTAGAGAGCTAGTCTTGAGCTGAAGTGCTGAGGGACAGTGCCCAGGCCCAGAGTATATATATGTGTGTGTGTATGTGTGTGTATATGTATATGTGTGTGTATATGTATATGTGTGTATGTATATATGTATTTGTGTGTGTGTGTGTGTGTGTGTGTATGGACAATTTTCAAACTTCCAGGTGCATTGTGGATAAGCAAATCATCTACCTGTGCAAATGCTTTGATCCTGCATTGTTTTAAATTGGAATCCAGCATTCATGATTTCATATTCTAAGAAACTTCACAGAATAAGCAACCAGAATGTTTTATAATGTTCCAATAAGATGATTTCAGTTAAAAGTAAATTGAACATAATATTTAATTCTATATTTATTCTAACTTGATATTTAATAACAAACAGAAGTTAAAGTACAAATACAGCAATTCAGTACAGTAATGTATTTCAGCTTAAAAGGTCTCTCTGAGATACAGAATTTCCAGAACATAGTCACACTTTTACATGATGAGTGGCAATTTGTGGCCAGTACTATAAAAAGCCCTGACAGGAAAATGGAAGGAGCTTGTGGGGTACCTCCAGATTAAGGAACTCTTTGCAACGTTCAAAAAACTCACACTTCCATTTTCAAGGTCAAGAAATATACCAATCTTGCCCAGAGGCTTCTCTATGTAGTGACGCAGCATGGGAGACGTGGTAAAGATACTGTAACCAATGTCATCCTTCACACATAAAAGGAGAAATACATCCTCGGGATCAATTATTACGGGTTCATTCATTGTCTTACAATTCTTATAGATCCCCACTGCCCAGTCCAAAGAATCATCTACACTGAGCTCCCAGTAATGCTTCCCGGAGCAGAAGATTTGGGCTCCTGAAACAGCAAAATAGTTGATTCCATCAAAATTCAAAAATGAAACTGCACAGGTAGGTCCAAACATTTGTACATGGTCAAACATCATATTTATATTCTGTGTTTCATGACCGAAGAAAAACTTCCCTGTGGAATAAAAAGAATATTCAAAGTCAATTTTGGAATTTATACAGCATGAGAAAAACTACCTTTCTGGTACAGCTCTGATTAGAAAATTCATATTCAAAGACTATCATCACATCTGTGGAACAACGTACCTACCAAAGGGGGAACCTTCCTAACAATTCCAAGATTTAAAGCGTCTCATGACAACTGAAAATCTGAAGACTTCTGCTGTGCTTACAGTTCCAAAACAATATATCCCACTTCCGTTGTCATTCGACAAGGGAAAAGAAGACATAAATTAAGACTACATAAATGAGATTACATTATCAGGGACATAATGATTTTGGGGGGGGGGAGACTTACTTAAGAGGATCACCTGTTCTAAGATAACCTGCATGACTTATGGAGAACTTATCTCAAAAAAGAGAAAGAAAAAGGGAAAAGTAAATGTGACTAGGCATGGATGGAGCTGGTTTAGTGTGATGCCAAGGAGCCCACAGGAAGCTCATTCCCCCTCCTGTGCTGGTGTCTTTCCCAACCATTGCAAAGAGAATCCAGACAAACTTTCTATCACTGAATCTGAGCCTTCTGCTTTCTATAATGCTGAGCTGATAGTGAATTGTTCTGTTTCGTGAGAGAATTAGAATCTGCGGATCCCACCAACTTTCTTTATCATATCAACCTTGAGGTTTCAGATGACTTCAGATAAGGCTGCTTCCTAGCATCACAGTGGAACCAAACCAGGAATCGGACCTTCCAGCATTGTTCTGTAGTCTTTCTTTCCATTCTCCCTCCCTTAGTGCCACATACTTATCAAGATGGTATTCACTGCACCACTTGTATTGTTTGGATTCATGAGTGTGTGTGTGTGTGTGTGTGTGTGTAGTTTATTGAGAAATAATTTCTCCTATAGACCTAATCTGTGTGATTTTCAAATATCTATCAATTATTAGTTTCATTTATACTTATACGAAATAAAAGAAAAATAAAGCATTTACATGATTCAAATACAGGACAGTAGTACTGAAAGATTTTTGGAAAACTTACACTAATGTTTTAGCTTTTACAAAATTTTAGCGTACCTGTATGAGTAGCTTTTAAAAGTAAGTAAATTTTGGGGCTGGGAAGTTGGCTCAGTGGTAGAGCGCTTGCCTTGCATGCCTGAGGCCCTGGGTTTGATTCCTCAGCACTACATAAGCAAAAAGAAAAAAGCCGGAAGTGGCACTGTGACTCAAGTGGTAGAGCGCTAGCCTTGAGCTGAAGAACTGAGGGACAGCGCCCAGGCCCAGAGTTCAGGCCCCATGACCAGACACCCCCCCCCCCAAAAAAGTAAGTAAATTTCTGAAATGTTTTAGCAATACTACAAAGAGATGATTTTATTTGAAGTTGAACTAAGAACAAAGAAAAACCCTTAGTTTTTAAATCTCTCTATACCTTTTTAAGTGGACATTTAAAAATCACATCTGTATGTGGTAAATCACAATTCACTGGTATGCTCTGGTAGTAAAGCACATAATTAATATGCTCAAAGCCATTGGTTTCAATTCAAAGAAATATATTTTTAATGCAAGAAAAAAAAACTTTCATCTTAAGATGAAATAGAAGCAAGAAATGAGAAACTTTACCCCAAATGATGGAAGTCCTACTGAAATGATTTAAGGTGATAAAATCTCATAAAATAATCTATAACACATAAAATATCTATTGACTTAGATATTACTTAATTCCAATGTAAAAAGTAAGAAAACAAACATAAAGTAAAACATCTTTTTATCAAAACTTTTATGTGTTTTTCTAATAAAAGCTAAAAATAACTTTTTAAAGTTTTCTTTTCAATCTGTTGTCGAAAGTAACAGAAACACTGAAAGGGATTTACCTAAACTATTTAGACCAGAAAAAAGATCCAAACAAAGCATCCCTTATGGAAATAATTTATGTACTAAACTGATACCCTTTAATTGGTGCTAACTGCATCTAAAAAATAAAAGGCTTTGGTTTAGTGTTAAGAGTGTCTGCCTAACTGGTCTGAAGTCCCAAGATAAAGTCCACCAACACACACATACAAACAAAAACAAAAATGTTTGACTTTGATTTCTGAGTTGAAAAACAGGCATAGGTTCTCTATTACTGCCTGTTTTATACGATTATATTTAAGTGCTTGTATCCACTAATAAGACTTTGAAAAACCAGCATTGTATGTGATATATCTAATGCTCAATGAGTCTGATTTTTAACTTTCTATTTTGTCATTATTTAAGTAGTTTGTGACAGGGCTAATTCATGTTTGCTATTATACCAATTTTCATTTATTTTCTCTATTAAGAGAGACTATACTAAATATGGTTGTAATTGGCTAGTTAGAAACTATGTATGTAAGAGGTTACAAAGAGGCAAATCTTAATAACAGAAGACTTCTCAAAGTGGACAGTACAGAAGTTCCTCCAACCTAGTGACACTCACGTCCATACTGGCTTAGACTGTCTATCAGTCCAGGGATGGGATGAGCACTGAGTTCTGGCTTCATAGTCTTTGGCATAAAGACTAGCATGGATTCACACCTGCAAGTGACAAAAATAAACTCACTGTTTTAGTTTGGAGTCTAAAGCAATCCTGTAGAATTTTCAATCTCTGAAAATTATCAAAAGTACTTGCATATCATAGCTGAAATCCAAAAATCTTAAAATAATACTGTTCTATTCTTACAAAAATCTTACTGTCTTTCACAACATTATCAATCCTATCACATGGGTAAAAACTATTGCATATAAATAAATATATTATTTATGACTTGAAATCTAACACTATAAATAGCTGTCTGTTAAAATGTATGCATGAATTCAACAGTTAAATTATCCTTCACACAAAGCTACTGAAATAATTTTACAAAAGAAAGTAATGAGAAGTCATATTCATTGGACTAAAACAGACACATGTTTTAATAATGATTTGTCCTTTTTCATAACCCTCATGGCTCCTACTTTGCACAGAAAGTTATACTTACCTTGCCAGTATGTATTTGAAATCTTGTAAAAGTTGCACTTACCTTGCCAGTATATATTTAACATTCTGTAAAGAAAGAACAAATGTTTAGGTTTCATTTGTGTTAGATGCTCTACCTTCCCAGTCTTTGTTTGAAAAATTCAGAAAACACTATAATCACCAACCCCCTGCTCAGCCTATTTTCTAGTTTATGTATTGCATGAATTTAAAATTGAATTTTTGCTAACTTTAGAACCTTTTGGTGAAAGATAAGGAAAGAAACTATATTGCTTCAAAACACTAGTAGTTTTCCTAGAGGGTCTTTTCTGGGCTTCTCCACAACAGGGAAGAGGCTACAGGAGCAACTCAAATGAATGATAGTCTGAGTTTAACATGAAATGTCTATGAAAAGTTACTGTTTGATTTTGAGTTTAGCATGGGCAATGCATAAATGTATTAGAGAATATTCTGAGAAATCTTTCACAGTTTCATATATCTTGCTAGTTTAGTGGGGATCTGAGTTTTTATCTTAATAATAAACAAGATATCACTGAAAATGCAAGAAATGTGGAAAATTACTTTTAGAGTCTGTTAGGATGGCACTTCAGATAGTTAAGAAATTGATAAATTGTTACCTGAAGGAGTTCAACATCTGGCTTTTGGTATGTTTTCACCAGCTCCTGATATAATTTTCTTAGATCTTTCTTCTTCTGAAGCATTTGGGTTTCCCTTTTCTTAAGTTGCTGTAAAACCACAGTTTCTTCATTTGTAAGTATCTCTGAATATTGTTTTCTCTCCTCTTGAAAATTTGGATGCAGCATCTCATAAATATCGCTGGTAATTACTCTGTGCATAGTCACATATGACTGCAGAAACAAAAAAATCCTACATTACATACTCTGCTCACTTTCATCTTTCCACATCAATCTCATCTTTCATTTTGACTTATTTCTTCTACCAATGTGCGTCATACACAGATTAGGTCTTTCCAGTCTTCGAGGACCATAAATTCATCCCTTTCTTTATTTCTTACTTTTGTTAAGTGAGCCAAGATGAGCCAAACCTGTGCTTATTCAAACACCTTCCATCTACTCTTCCAGAAACACCTGGTGAAAAGTTTTCATAAATGTGTTCTTTACATATACTTTTCAGTCAGAAAGAACACCTGAAAGTCATTAAAACTTATCCTTTATAAATAATTATACACGACTCAAATAAAATAAAATTTAAATAAATAAATAAATAATTATACACGAAAAAGGAAATCAAAACAGAACCTAGAAAGTGGCAAAACTTCCCATGCTCCTGGATTGGAAGAATCAACATCATGAAAATGGCAATACTTCCCAAGGCTATCTACAAATTCAATTCGATATCTATCAATATTCCAACCTCATTCTTCAAGGAAATAGAAGAGGCAATCCAAAAATTCATCCATATGAATAATAGACAATAAAAGACCCCAAATAGCAAAAAACGATCCTTAGCAGAAAGAACAGTGCTGGTGGAATATCAATACCAAACTTCAAACTCTACTACAAAGCCATAGTAATCAAAATAGCTTGGTACTGGCACAAGAACAGACCTCAGGACCAATGGAATAGAATTGAAAACCCAGAAATGAGCCCACAGACCTATAGCCATCTAATCTTCGATAAGGGAGCTAAAAAAATAGAATGGAAGAAAGGCAGCCTCTTCAGTAAATGGTGCTGGCAAAATTGGTTAACTACTTGTAGAAAACTAAAGCTAGATCCTTATATATCACCCTGCACCAGAATCAACTCCAAATGGATCAAAGACCTCAGAATCAAAGCAGACACTCTGAAAACATTACAGGATGGAATAGGAGAAACCCTTGACACAGGCTGAAATTTTCTTAATAGAGACTCAGAAACACAACAAATCAAAGAAAGGTTGGACAAATGGGATTGCATGAAATTGCAGAGTTTCTGCACAGCAAAAGACATAGCTAGCAAGATCAATAGAAAGCCCATGGATTAGGAGAGGATCTTCACTAGCCATACAATGGACAAGGGTCTCATATCTAAAATATACCTGGAACTCAAAAAATTAAATCCCCCAACAACAAATCCTCAAAGAAACTGCCTGATAAATAAGTGGGCTAAAGGCTTAAAGAGAAACTTCTCTGGAGCGGAAATAAGAATGGCCAATAGACACATGAAGAAATGCTCAACATCCCTAGTCATAAAAGAAATGCAAATCAAAACAACATTGAGATTCCACCTCACCCCAGTTAGAATGGCTATAATCAAGAACTCTAATAACAACAGATGCTGGAGGGGATGTGGACAGAAGGGAACCTTACTTCATTGTTGGTGGGAGTGTAAACTTGTTCAACCACTTTGGAAAGTAGTATGGAGGTTCCTCAAAAGACTCCACCTAGAGCTCCCCTATGACCCAGCAATTCCACTTTTGGGCATTTACCCAAATGATCACAAACAAGACCATACTAAAGCTACCAGCACAATTATGTTTATTGCAGCATTATTTACCATAGCTAAGATATGGAACCAACCCAGATGCCCAGTAGATGAATGGATAAAGAAAATGACAATGGAATTCTATGCCTCCATCAGAAAGAATGACATTGCCTCTTAGTTAGGAAATGGAAAGACTTGGAAAAAATTATATTAAGTGAAGTAAGCCAGGCCCAAAGAAACATAGGTCCCATGGTTTCCCTTATTTGCAATAACTAGTATATATCTGAGACAAGCAGAAGAGGTCAGATAAGTTGATGTTAGGTGAAATGAACCCCAAGGTAAGTATTCAAATGTTTTTTTTCTTTCTTGGGATTGTTTCTAACATATTTATAAGATGATTTCTTTGTTGCTTTGTATGCCCCTCCCCCACGGTATAACTTCTGCTTTCACTTTATTTGATGTTGGTATAATTTGTGGAGGGGAAGGGAAAAAACAAATTGTTTAAATAGGGATACAGGTGGACCCATTGCAACAATGAGATGTACAAGTCGTTATGTCGAAAAACGAACTTTACAACTTTGGGGGGTGGGGGCGGTAATGAGGGGTTGGAGAGATGGGAAGGAATAAGAAGGGGAAACAAAGGAGGAGACAACGATGCTTGATAAGAAATGTACTCATTATCTTGCCCATGTAATTGTAACTCCTCTGTATGATATTTTCACAATAAAAATAATAATAATAAAAAATAATTGTACACAATCTTCAGAAACCCATGTTCATAAGTAGATGTTTGACAACTATTCTCTCTGATACACAACTCAACCACTATCTGAGCAGCACTACTACATCAATCTTTATGAGTGGAAGTTAGCAATAAAGATCTCACTAAAGTTCCTTCCAGCACCATGTCATCGTAAGAGATGGATGGATATATGTCTGTCCCTTTTTTTCTTCAGACTGATTCTGAAGGACATATACTTACAACCCATTCATCGATTATTCTCTCCTCTTCATTTATAATTCTCTGGATTTCTTGTATCCTTTCCCACACAGATCTCATTTCCTTTAAAATCTTTTCCTGTAAGAGTAAACACTAAATTTAGTAGCAAGAACATGGGTTCAGATTTATGATAGAAAATTGTTCTTTAATAAAATGAGAAATTCCTAGATTTAGAAAAAATACATAGACTGCTTGCATTTATTTCCTAAGAATTACCAATTTTACCAAATTTTGCATATGGAACCATAAAATGTAATCAACCCTTTTTGCTTTTGCAAAGAAACTGAAAAACATGAATAATTTTTAGGTAATGTCAAAATGGGCCTCAGAATTAGAGTTTAGGGATATTTCATTCCTGGTAATACCATCATACTTCTTAGTTAACTTGTGTGTATCCTTTATAGGTGCCTTTTGATCTGGCAGTACTGGAAACCAAAAATCTGACCTGAGCGCTTCAGGCCACTAAATGCATCTTAACATAATGAACATCACTCATAGGCATCTGAATGTCATGAGCTCTAAGAATACGATAAGGATGCCTGCACATCCATGTTCATTGCTGCACTAGTCAAAATAACCAAAATATGGAAACAGCCCAAATGCCCCACAATACATGAGTGGATCAAAAAAAAGTATTACCTATACATGGGATTTTACATAGCCATTAGAAAGAATAAAATGATGTTTTTTGCAGGGAAATTGATGGAACTAGAACAAATCATGTGAAGTGAGCTAAGCCAAGCTCAAAGAGACAGACAGTACATGTTTTCTCTGATATGTGGAAATTAGATCTAAAAAGTACTGGTATATGATAAATAATGCAGGATTCTAGATGCTTACACACTATGAGACCAAAAGAGGATACTTTTAGGAGACAAACACAAAGGTGCAATGCGTAAATGCCTCTTGATATTTATATAAAATAATATACATACTGAAATGAACTCCAAGAGACTTTTTTTTCTATCTTTTTTTTTAGTTTTTAGTTTTTGATGACTCTGTCTTCTTTATATTATGTGTACAGTCAGGAGGGTTGGAGGGAGGGTACAGAACTTGAGAGAAAAAGTGCATCAGTGGAGTGAACTGGACATTGATGAAAGTGAGCTATATAACTCATGAGTGGAGATGGAAGGGAGGGACTGGGAGAGAATGAGGGAATAGAAGACACTGTGTGAAAGGAAATGTACTCATTGCCTCACTCATGTAATTGTAATCCCTCTGCACATCACCTCTATAATAACAATAAAGTAAATTAAATGTATATATATATATATGTATATATATATTGAACACCAACTTCACAATTCTGTCAATAGTATTCAAATTCCACAAAGGCAGGATATTGCCAATTTTATTCATAAACTTATTACCAAATCATTGAACTTGGTCTTTTTTTTGGGGGGTCCTGTTGTGGGGCCTGAACTCTGGACCTGGGCGCTGTCCCTCAGCTCTTCAGCTGAAGATTAGCACTCTACCACTTGAGCCACAGTGCCACTTCCGGCGTTTTTCTTTTTGCTTATGTGGTGCTGAGGAATCGAGCCCATGGCCTCATGCATGCAAGGCAAGCACTCTACCACTGAGCCACATTCCCAGCCCCTGAACTTGGTCTTAATCAGTATCATTTCTATATGACCTCTGATCCCCTGATCTTTTACCCCCAGCTTTTGTGAGATCTCAGAGCTTTCACTTACCCGATGCTCCTCAGCAGCCCCTTCCATGGGACAATGCCTGTTGGTCTGGTGCTTCTGAGAGGGGGAGCAGAGCATGTTCTTGTCCACTCTACAGAGCATCCTCTTTATCTTCTTGTTTGTCTTAAATGAGTGTTCCTCTGAGCTCAGGAATTGTCTGAAGCTGGCTTTTCTAGCAATGGATACCAGACGCTTGAGGAGGATGTTAGTGCTGAAGTCTCTTTGCTGGGAGGGTACTCTGCAGACAGGGCATCTGGCTGGAGTCTGAGTTTCTTCCCAGGAAAGGCAGAGACATGGCCGACAGAAACTGTGGCCACAGTCTATGGTAACTGGGTCTATGAGAGCGTTCACGCAGATGACACATGTCAGTTCTTCCTGAACTGCTTGGGCAATGTTGGAATCCATCTTTCCAGATAGTGAAAATTAGAATTTTTTCTTCAGCCAGGCACCAATAGCTCACGCCTGTAATTCTGGATATTCAGGAGGCTGAGATCTGAAGAATGTGGTTCAAAGCCAGCCTAGGCAGGAAAGTCCAGGATCTCCAATTAACCACAAGAAACAGGAAATAGTGCTGTAGCTCAAAGTAGTAGTGCTAGCCTTGAGTGAAAAAGCTCAGGAACAACACCCAGGCCTTGAGTTCAAGCCCCAGGAATAATAAGATTGTCTCTTCTGTGAAGAAACAAACACAAAATGTACACAAGTTGCTGCTCAGTTGTAATCTTCTGTCTAAAGCAGTGTAGGCAACTTGTTGCAAAAGACAAAAATAGGTAACCCCCCCAGAAAAAGAGGAAACTCACCAGCTGCTTCTAAGTGCTAAACTATCCCACATCTGTTGAGTTAGGATACTCCTCTGAAAAGCCAAGTCTCAGTTTGACCCTATTTATACTCTAAAAGGGTGGGCCATGAGTACTCTGGCAACCAATCAAATTCTCACCCTTGATTAGTTTTAAAAAGGGCGAGTGACTGAACTTTTCCTTTTTTGATAAGTCTTTTGTTTAAATCTGTCAGCATCTACTTCACAAAGTTTCTAAATACATCAAACTTTACATGTAAAAATAAATCATGATCTATTCATAAAACCATATTAAGTACCAGCACAACTATGTTTATTGCAGCATTATTTACCATAGCTAAGATATGGAACCAACCCAGATGCCCCTCAGTAGATGAATGGATCAAGAAAATGTGGTATATATACACAATGGAATTCTATGCCTCCATCAGAAAGAATGACATTGCCCCATTTGTTAGGAAATGGAAAGGCTTGGAAAAAATTATATTAAGTGAAGTAAGCCAGGCCCAAAGAAACATAGGTCCCATGGTTTCCCTTATTTGCAATATCTAGTATATGTATGAGTCAAGCAGAAAAAGTCAGATAATGTGATGTTAGGAAAACAAACCCTCAAATATGTATTTTAATGTTTTTTTTTCTTTCATGCATGTGTTTCTAACGCATTTATAAGATTATTTCTTTGTTGCTTTGTATGTCCCTCCCCCACAGTGTAACCCCCCCGCTTTCACTATATTTGATGTCAGTATAACATGTGGAGGAGACGGGGACAAACAAGTCGTTTAAGGATTCAGGTGGACCTGTTGCAACAATGAGAAGTACAAAATGTCATGTCAAAACCAGCTTTACAATGTCGGTGTGGTGGGGGGGGAGGGGGGGTATGATTGGGCGGGAGGGAGGGGGGAGGCTGGGAAGGGAGGTGAAGGGTAAACAAAGGAGGAGGCTGCAATGCTTGTAAGAAATGTATGCATTATCCTGCCCATGTAATTGTAACCCCTCTGTACAGTATGTTCTCAAATAAAATAAAATTAAATTAAAAAAAAAAAAAACCATATTAAGTGTTTGAGTCTACTTTTTGGTCTTTCTCATGTAGGTTCTATACGCAAGCAAACACAAATTACAGCCATTATATCGGTTAAATCTTGAGAACTAGGAAGTGGTGCTGTGGCTCAAGTAGTAGAGTGCTACTAGTCTTGAGCTGAAGAGCTGAGAGACAGCACCCAGGCCCAGAGTTCAAGGCCCGTGACTGACAAAAAAAAAAAAAAAAAAAAACCTACTTTACCAGGCACTGGTGGCTCACACCTATAACCCTAGCTACTCAGGAGGCTGAGATCTGAGAAGATCTGAGGATCATGGTTCAAAGCCAGCCCGGACAGGAAATTCCATGAGTTTTTTGTTTTTGTTTTTGTTTTTGCTTTTGTTTTTGTTTTTTGTCGGTCATGGGGCTTGAAGTCTGGGCCTGGGCATTGTCCCTCAGCTCTTCAGCTCAAGGCGAGCCCTCTACCACTTGAGTTACATCACCACTTCCGGTTTTCTAGTGGTTTATTGGAGATAGGAGTCTCAAGGTCTTTCCCAGCTGGCTTTGAACCAAGATGCTCAGATCTCAGCCTCCTGAGTAGCTAGGATTACAGGTGTGAGCCACCGGCGCCCAGTTCATGAGATTCTTATCTCCAATAAACCACTCAGAAAACCAGAAGTGGCCCTGTGGCTCTAGTGGTAGAGCGCTAGCCTTGAGCTGAAGAGCTCAGGGACAGTTCAAGCCTCAGGACCAAACAAACAAACAAATCCTTGAGAACTACTGTCAAGTAAGTTTCACATTGGAAAAAAAATGGAATTATTTTAATCAATCCCATAAAAATGTTTTTGCTGAGGGCTGGTGGCTCAAGCCTAAAATACTAGCTACTCAGGATGCTGAGATCTGAGGATCATAGTTCAAAGCCAGTCCCAGCAGGAAAGTCTGTGAGTCTCTTATCTCCAACTAACCACCAGAAAACTGGAAGTAGTGCTGTGGCTCAAGTGGTAGAGTGCTTGCCTTGAGCTGAAGAGCTGAGGGACAGCACCCAGGCCCAGAGTTCAAGGCCCATGACTGACAATAAACAAACAAACCAGTGCTTTTAAAAATGTTTTTTGGGCAAGTGATGCTGTGGTTCAAGTGGTAGAGTGCTAGCCTTGAGCACACAGAGGCTCAGGGACAGTACCCAGGCCCTGAATTCAAGGCCCACAACCAACAAAAAAAAAAGTGTTGCACTTATTATTCCTGTTTGGGGAAAGGATTGCAGCTTAGTGGCAGAGTGCTTGCCTAATATGCATTAGGTTCAATTTTTTAGTTCCACATAAACAGAAAAAATAAATAATATTATTATTTTTATTTATTTTTTTTTGTCAGTCATGGGGTTTGAACTCTGGGCCTGGGTGCTGTCCCTCAACTATTCAACTAAAGGCTAGCAGTCTACCACTTGGGCTACAGTGCCACTTCTGGCTTTTTCTGCTTATGTGGTACTACAGAATCAAACCCAAATGCAAGGCAAGCATTCTATACCACTGATCCACCTTTCCAGCCCCAAATAAAATTATTTTTTAAAACTCTTTTTTGGCTCCTGCCTGCCTGTAATCCTAGCTACTCAGGAAGCTGAGATCTGAGGATCACAGTTCAAAGACAACCCCAGGCAGAAATGCCCCCATGATACATGATACTCTTATCTCCAATAAACTACTCAAAAAAAGCCAGAAGTAGCTCTGTGGCTCATGTGGTAGAGTGCTAGCCTTGAGCACAAAGAGGTTCAGGGACTGTGCGTAGATGATAGATAGATAGATAGACAGACAGACAGATAGACAGACAGACAGACAGACAGACAGACAGACAGACAGACAGACAGACAGACAGACAGACAGACAGACAGATAGATAGATAGATAGATAGATAGATAGATAGATAGATAGATAGATAGATAGATAAAAAATAGGGCTTGGTTGCAGTAGATATACCACTAACACTAAAGTCTGGAAGTAGGGAGAAGGAACAAAAGGAAGGGATTAAAACATCTTCGGAGTTGACACTTGATCTAGTCCCTTATCCACAACTTGAGGATTAAATGAAACTCCCTCAGTGCATCTCCTTTATGCCAATAAGGGAAGTGTATAGAATAAAAAGAAGTGATTTGAACATTGCTCAGATTTCAAGAAAATCAAATAAATCAGAATGGGTAACTTCAGAGGAATCCAGAACTCCTGCCTAGGACAGAGGGGAATCTAGTGTCCCATCCCCTGAAGCTATGGTTAAAAGGGTGTGCTTCCCACAGAGCACAATTTGCGGTGCCAAGCTGCCACCTCCCTAATACAAGGAGATTCAGTCTTAGTGGAGAACTAAGAACTGAAGAGAACTCAAGACCACAAAATCCAATCTCAGGGACACCCTCAGGCAGTAGCATTGAGGGGGAAAGTACAGGATTGACTGAAATGGACACTTGGGCTTGAAAGTTTGTGTGAGGAGTCTATGGAGACATGATCTTGCAGTGCATTATGAGGAGCATTTAGCCAGGTGGATTAGAGAGTGAATAAAAAAGGGAGGCCTGGTATCTAAATCATACTTAGAGCTCAAAATCCTAAACCTCACATAAACCCTCAAAGAAACAACAATCCAATTAACAAATAGGCTAAAGACTTGAAGGCTTGGCTAGGCACTGGTATCTCATGCCTGTAATCCTAGCTACTCTAGAGCCTGAAATCTGAGGATTGCAGTTCAAAGCCAGCTTGGGCAGGAAAGTCTGTGAGACTCTTATCTCTAATTAATGACCAGAAAACTAGAAGTTGCACTGTGGCTCAAAGTGGTAGAGCGCTAGGGAGCTCTAGAGCACTAGAGCTGAAGAGCACAGGGACTGTGCCCAAGACCCACAACCAATCAACAAATAAAATATTCCCGGAAGATGAAATAAGAATGATAATAAACATATGAAGAGATGTTCAACATCTCTGGCTATAAAAGAAACGCAAATAAAGATTCTACCTCACTCCAGTTAGAATGGCTATTATCAAGAAAACCAATAATAACAAATGCTGGGGGAGAGGGGGAATGCAGCCAAAAGGGAACACTACTACACTGCTGGTGGGAATGTAAACTTGTTCAACCTTTCTGGAAAGCAGTATGGATGTTCCTCAAAAAACTAAACATAGAACTAACCTATGACCAAGCAATCCCACTCCTGGACATTTATCCAATTGACCACAAACCATGCCACACTGAAGCTACCAGTATAACCATGTTCATTGTAGCATTATTTACCATAGCGAAGATATGGAATCAGCACAAGTGCCTTTCAGCAGACCAATGGATCAAGAAAATGAAGATACTGGTCAAAGAAAAAAAAAAAAATATATATATATATATATTTGTAATTGAATTATATGCTTCCATCAGAAAGAATGATATTGTACCATTTGTAAGGAAATGGAAAGACTTGGAAAAGATTATATTAAGTGAAGTAAGCCATATTGTTTTATTAACTAAGTAGGAAACATAGGTTGCATGATTTCCCTCATTTGTTGTAACTAGAAATTGTCTATAAATCTACAAGTAAACACAATGGATAGTAAAAGACAAAAATACACACGAACATGA